GTGGTCTTTAAGGAGGAATAGCTTGGCCAGGCTGAGTTTTCAAGAGCTGGCTCTGGGGCAGGAGGAGGGCCTCAGCGCCTAGCTCAGAAGCCACACTCAAGTAATGGACAAGAGGTGAAAGCAAGAACCAGAGACCCGTCCTGAGGGAGGAAGAAACTCACTTCTCAGCTCCTTCCTGGAAAAAACCATCACTCAAAGATCTTAGTGTCTTAGTGTCACCTGACCACTCAGTTGGTCCCTACAGAAGCTGCTTAGGAAGGTGCTGGGAATAGTCGACACTGACACATACGAAAATGTCCACCTGCAAACAGAATGCACAAAGAGGGTGGTTCTAGTGAAATTCTGAGATCTGGGGCAAAACAAGAAAGAAAAACCATGCTGTTCAACTGGCAGAAACTCCACCAACGTAGAGAGGAAATGAGCTAGAGGAGAAACAGAAGCAGCCTTAAAGTGAGACGTGCACTCTGAATAGTCACGAGCACACGCATTCTGGTCCAGGGCATCGCTGTCGTTTCCCTGCTCCTAAAGATGCTTCAGCAACAGTGCATTTTTCTCTTCCCTTATCCTCCTGCTGGACCCTTTCTGACCAGCCTTCCCCCATCCTCTCCCTGCCCTCCACACCTGCCAGAACACTATCCCAGGATAAGACAGCAGGACTTGACAACGACTTGATTCTACAAGTACAACCCTCTATTTCTGCGATCTCCAAACCTTCCATTGTGCATCCCTTCAGGAGAAAACAGTCTAGGTACTCCCGCAGTCCATGTGCCTATTACACATCAGTTATGCAGTGATTACTATCAGCCCATGTATTAATAAGCACCACAGGTCAGTTTCATTTTAAAAACTTAACAAGACACAAACGTTTGACATTTGCACCTTACACTCAAAGGAATGGTCTTCCCCTTCAGACCGTTAGAATAGCCACATTTGTCCAAAGGGTGAGGGAATGGAAGACTTTGCAGGAATGAGTGGTGAGACTGGACCTGGCGCCTTTATCACGTGGGAAGAAAGAGATGCACCCAAGTTCTCTGTGGACAGGCTCTGGGAAGCAGGGTGGGGAATCACTGTTTCCTGCGGCAAATTCTCCAGCCCAGCCACGTCTCAACAGGATGAAGCTCTCAAACTGCTTCATTTCTGTATTTCCTCCATTCAAGACAGCCTCAGCCAGGAGGAAGTTTTCCATCAGCCGCATACTTGATGGATTTCACAGCCACTGATGATCCCCGCCTTGCTTCACTCCACTGTCTCATTAGGAGTTATAAAATGCTGATTTTTCTAATTTTTCATTCCTTTTGCATTTATTAGCTGTGATTTCTCCATAATTAACAATGTTCCCTCATCAACTATTTGATTATCTTCAGATACAGTTTGTTCTAGAAAGGCAGGAGCAGAGCTGGATTCTTCCCCTTTACTTCTCAGAGTAAAGGCACGATGTCCTAGCAACTTGCAAAGGTGATCAATTGATTTTTGTGGGTTCTTCTTGCTCGGAGTATCATTCTGGACTCATGGATTATTTTCCATTGGTTTGAATAACAACTGTGGTCATTATTCTTTTTGTTGCTCAAACTGCCCCATCTTTGGCTCCTGTGTCTTTCTGACTCCCCTCCAGGGCTCTTCCTTAGCTTCCTTGCTTTCTGGTAGGACAAGATGTCCCGTCTTCAACATTTCCTGCCCTAGACCTGGAATCACCTGTTTATTCTAGGAAGAGATTCCTTTAGTGGGAAAGGTGTTTAGGGAATCTCAATCTAAGTGTTAAGAATATTCATTGCTACTGGGTTGTCTTTACTTTTGATTTTTTTCAAAGTGCAGAGTTAGGATAAATTTCTTTTTTAAAAAGAAACTATAAGTTTATATTAATACTTCCTTTTCAAGCTGAATATTAAAATCTTTTAAAAAATTCTTTAAATACTCCCCCCTTCTTGTGTATTACAAATTTGGTTCCTACAGTATACCTGCCATAGTTTCAAATAACAACCTAAATATTCCTTACTACAGTCCATAGACTGTGCTTTAAAGTCACTTGAAATAATTATTTTACCTGAATGAGAGATTAGCACCAGCCTGATTTATCACTACATTTGTTTGTTTCATTTTTTTCGATCTCTTTTTCAATCTTCAGCAAGTATTTGCTTTTGGATTTTTCTTTTTAAATTATGTAAACCACTTGGATGGTTCGAAAATCAAAATAAAGTCTATTTTCTATCCCTGTCACTGCAACCCCTCCTCCAAATGGTAATCATTTTTATTAGCCTGCGATTTATTCATTTTTTGTTGGAAAACATGAACATATTCATCTATAGCAACATATACACCACCCCACCCCCTTCTTATACAGAAGCAAATGACTCCACATACCACCCTGGACTTGGGTTTCTATCACTTAATGTATCCTAGACAACTCCCTCCAGACAGTGGAGTCTTCCCTCAGCCCTTTGCACAGTTACACCAATTGTTACACCAATTCAGTTACATTAATGGACCACATTAGTCACTCAGTCCCCTGTTAGGAACCTCTGGATCATCTCCGGCCTTTTCCTGGTACAAACAGAACTACAATAAACGGCCCTGTGCACATGCCACGTCTGATTTTTGCTCACTTATCTTTGGGACAGATTCCTAGAGACCATATGCTCAGTCAAGGGACAGAGGCATAGGTAGCGGTGCGAGCTGGCGACATACGCCCTCCCACAGGGGCAGGGCCAGGCGGTATTCTCACCGTGTCCCTGGGTCTCACCCAGGGAACAGCAGAGCTAGCCAGCTTTCAGACTTTCACTCTTTGGATAGGTGGGCCATGGCACCTCGGGTTTTAAAACGCATTTCTCTTACCGTGAGTGAAGTTAATGTGCTTTCACTCATTCGGGGCAATACATTTCTTTCTCCTCTGCTCTGCTTCTGCACATTTTCCTATTGGATTGTGGGACTTTTTCTACTCATGTTTTAGAAGCTCTTGATACACTGTGATACTAATCCTCCGCAACAGAATTTGCTATGGTGTTAGTTTTTGATGATGTCATTTTTGGCCATACAGATTCTTATTTTCTTTTTCTGAAAAAAAGCAGTCAAATATATCCGTTCTCTCACCCCCTCCCTCCCCACTCCCCAATTCCTGATGAATTCTGACTCATTTAAGAAACTATCTCCTTCCCAGGTTAACAAGAAGTAACCTATTTTTCCATCTTTAGTTAACATTTAAGCAGTGAATTGATTTCAGTTCAATCAACCAACACTGCTGAAATCCTCCATTTGTGGAGAATAAAATAGGCTTTTTTGAGACTTTGAATTCTGACATTCTAAAAGAATTTCTTTCTGGAAGAGCCTCCTATTTCTAGTCCTTGGATACAGGGAAACACCATCCCATGGAGGGACACATATACCACGTCATTCCAGCAGTTCTGGCCCTTTTGGACACAGCCAATATTTCATTTCACGTAATGTTAACACCCAAGTCACCTCTTGGGTTACTTTGTGTCATGCCATCCCAGCCCTTCAAAGTGACACAGCAGTGTCTATTCAAAGGTAACTCCAGCCGCGCCTCGCCAAGCGACTGGCCACCTGCCCACCACCACGCCACGCGTCATCCCCCCAGCTGTGCCCAGGACAGGCTCCAACAGCAGGCGACAGAGACAGAACTCCGGGAACAGTAACAATGTTTACAACGCACACTTGCATGAACCTCTCTGTGCCACAACAAAGACTTCGACGTGAGCAGGTTTTAAAAATCACTCCTCTCTCTGCCATAACCCTCCTTAATTCTCCCTTCTCACACTTCACACTCAAGGACTAGTCCCACGTGTTTGTTGCTGGATTCAGTGAACCTGAGAAAAGGTTACCTTCAGGGGGATGTGACAGAGAGGGGCCACCATGCAGGGAAAAGGCAGGGCAGGAGGGCCTGGGGTCTTAACTCAGCAAACAGATTCACATCTCAGATACCAGTTCTAGGATGGAAATCTCTGAATTCAACTGATCCCGTTAAGATAAGAAAACTGAAGTCCACACTCTGAGCATCCAAATAAACTGCTTAACTCATGGGACTTTCATTCCCAGAACAGGAATTCACCTCATCAAGGGGAATCACCAAGGTCTATGCACGTAAACAATAAATTCATTTTTGGCACGAATGCTATCACATTTGGTACCTGGCTTCACAGCCCTCAGCTAATCACAAATGAACTGAAGCTACAGGCAGGTTAACGGATGGCAGCGGCAAGAAACGGCGAAGGCGGGAAAGGAACTTTACACAAACAGAAAAATGTTGAGAGGCTACAGTTGGGGCCAGTGAATTCATCTTTTGGTATGTCCACTACAACATTCTGCGAAATAACCACCGCTATCGGAAAACGGTACCACGTGAGCAAGAGAAGGGGCGACTGCATTCTGGGCCCAGGGTTTAAGACGTCAGTAAGGTATGAAATAGAGTTTTCAGCCATTCCATTCTGAAGAGGCTAAATCTTTTCCCTGATACGTTTGATGCTTAAATAATGAAGGCTTAATTACTTGGAAAAAGGATGGGAGCCAAAGACCTCATTCCTCATCAATCATCAGGTGGACCCCAAACAGTATCTGTGGGGCTTTCCTACCTGCACTTTATTTCTTGCATTTGTGTTTCTTTTCTTGATTATAAGCTATATTAAATAGAAGAGATTTTGAAGGGAGAAGCCCTTTGTTTCCCTTGCTTTGTTTAATAAACAGTATATTCTGTGGGGAAAAAAAAAAATCAAAGTTGACCCAAAGTCCTTTCCTAAATGGCTTCCAGTGAGACTTCATAGTGAAACATTTTTCTGCAGAACATTTTTAAGGCTTTTCACAAAATGCTCACATCGCCTTTCAATATCAATTAAAAAAATTCAGTTATTCCCAAGAAAATGGTTCCACAGCACACATTTCTATAGCAGAAAGCCGTGGGATTAGCAACCCAACAAATACACGGCCGCCTCATTTCTTTCCCCGTTCATCTCTGGTGGTGTTCTGGTAAGGAGAGGTGAGACCCAAATACTCACGGAACATGGTGTAAAACTGCTGTGGGTTCAGATTCCACTTGCCCCAGGGGGTCTTGTGGCCTTTCGACTGGGCATAATTAGCGTGGTTGAACTCTGGCTCTGTGCCGAATGAGTCCAGGACCCGGAGCATGCACCTGAAAGAAAAGATGCCGTGGTTAACACTACAACCTTGGCCTCAAAGTTGAAAAACCGAAAGCTCTACCTCTGTCCTCAGGGACTACCAAAGATGGACACTTGAAATCAGAAATGCCACTGGGCAGGAATTGAGAGGTCTCACAGTAGCTTGTCTTCCAAACATCTCCACATGTGACTTTCGAGCCAGAGCCATCACACAGCCCCATACAATCTGCTTCAGATGTGTTGACTCATCACAGAATATGCTCAAATACCAGCTAAATAAAAAGTTCCCGAAAGCTGCAGACTGCCGTGACCACTGCTGTACTCCTAGCCTGGGCCGAACATGCAGTGTGGTGCCTGATGAACAGCTGCTGAAGAAGTAAAGAACTACCATTTTTAGAGGTTGCTGTGTCTGAACGTTTATATCCCCCTAGAATTCCTGTGTTGAAATCCTAACCCCTAAAGGTGGTGGTATCAGCAGATGGGGCCTTTGCAAAGTAGTTAGATCATGAGGATGGAATCCCCATAAATGGGATTAGGGCTCTTACAAATGAGATCCCACAGAAACCCCAGCCCCTTCCACCATATGAAGATACAGTGGGAAGTCTGCAACCTCCCCGGCCATGCTGGCACCCTGATCTCAGACATCCAGTCTCCCAAAATATGAGTAATCAGTTTCTGCTATCTACAAGCCACCCAGGCGGCAGCGTTGTGGTCTGGCAGCCTGAGCAGATGGAGGTTTTATTCTGCTTAGAGCACGTGGCATGCCTTATCTCTTTCAACAACTATTCAACATTTTCATCAATTGACTAGAGTACGTGATTCTAGGTAAAGCTTAGAATCTCACTCAATAGGCAGTGGTAATTTTCTATTCATTTGATAGTACCAGGACATCATTGCTTTCTCCTAGAACTTGAAGAAGTGAAACTGAACATGTTTCGTTTGGCTATTCCACCAAAGCCTTAAAACACCATCAGACAAATGTGGTCACCATACTGCCTACTTTTGCATGGTCTTCGAGCTAAGAATGATCTTTACATTTTTAATGGTTAGAAAAAGATATTTTGTGATGTTAAAATTATATGGAATTCAATTTTCAGCATTCAAAAAATACAGTTTTATTTGAACTAGCCAAACCCAGTTGTTCCTGTATATCTTTGGCCACCCTCACACAATACAGGGTTCAGTAGATGTAACAGAGACCACATAACCAAGCAAAGCCTAAAATACTTACTATCTGGCCCTTTATAGAAGAAGCCTTCTAACCGCTGCTTTGGAGTACATAAAGAATGACCAGTCGGAAAAAGGAATCAATACTAAAACAGAATCTATTGATTTTGGTTACATTTACTTCACCACTGACTCTCAAAACATTGATGTAAATTTAGCACATGACTGGCCAATAAAAACAGCACTATTTTGTTATGTGTCACTAATAATTCTGATCAGCTCTTGTTGGACTGATATGCAAAAAGTAAATAAAGATTAAAGCTCATATTTTAGAATCAGATGATGGCAATGGCTTTTAAGCATCTGATTCAGTTTCTTTCTTCCTTATCCCACTACGAGGAAGTCATTCTTCCAATTAGATTACAGCAACATGATTCAGACAAAAAAGAATGCTAACACCAGGTTGGATTTTCCAGGGAGAGCAACAGCAAATCACCATTTTAGCATAATAATATTCACGTCAGAGATGGCACTGTTTGTCTAGACAAGGAAGGAAAGAGAGAGGGAGGGCAAGGTGGAAGGAGGGTGGGGCCCGACCACAAAGTGAAATACAAGCTGACCACAGAAACAGGGTCCTCTTGGATTCCTGTGCAGCTCTCAAGGAACATGCAGTCATCAATCATAGTGGCGATTTGCACAGCATCACCAAGAACATGTCATCAGCCTGGCAGCCAAGAGGTGGACTGAAATGAGAGTCCACAGTCCAGGAGAAAGCAAGCTAGGGGCCCAAGGAACTATTCCTGCTCACTGAATAGCTCAGAGCATTCTTTTCGTCTTCTCAGGAAAACATTCCCATCTCTTAACATAGTTTGGCATTTATTTATTTATTAAACATTTTTTATTGATTTATAATCATCTTACAATGTTGTGTCAAATTCTAGTGTTCAGCAAAATTTTTCAGTCATACATAGACATACACACACTCATTATCACATTTTTTCCTCTGTGATTCCCTGTGCTATACAGTTTAATCTTGTTTATCTGTTCTACAATTTTGAAGTAAGATGCAAAAGGAAGTGGTTGGAGCCCGCGTGTTGTCTTCTGACAAAGATGGTCTTGCTCAAAAAACAGTGGGGATGATGGTAGCCGCTCTGTGGAAGGTCACTGCAGGGGAAGGCAGGGGGAGGAGGTGGGGGGACACACACTGACAGGTGGGGCTGGGGTGGGTTCAGCTCCTGCAAGAGGAGCAGTGCTGGGATTCAAAGGTTGCAGCGCAGAGCAGGGAGAAACAGGCCACCCTTGCCATCGGAACTTTTGTGCCTCCACTGGTGTGCAATCAACTCTCTCTCTACCTTGTGATTTTATTTTGAACTTGCAGTTTTACTGGTATTGTTTTCAAATTGGATGATTAACATAAACCACAATGAGTAAAGATGCCTGGTAGGACCCTAACTTCTGAAATCCTAGCCTTTATACAGGGCCTCGATGGATGCTTTGAGATGTTGGCTTCTTCTCAACAGAAGGCTACAGAATGAATGATCGAATGCTTCCCTTACTTGTAACTCTAGGTGCTTATACTTGAAGCTTTGGTTTGGGAATTGATTGGGTTTTTTTGTTTTTTAAAGCATATCTGGGTTTGTTTTCTAAACCAGAGGCAGGAGACTGATCTCTGTCTGTGACAGGAAAGGCTTAACACTGTAGTTTTCCTTCTTCAGTCACTTTCTGCATCTGCGTGTTTTGGAATTGGGTTTGTGATGTTAATGTTTATGCTGTTCCTCTAATGTCTTTTGTGTGTCTGGAGCATCAGGAACAGACGGAAGACTTAAAAGATATTTGCCTGGCCGCCTGAGGCAGCTGGCCTCCTAACAGGGATGGCTGCAGCAACGCCAGATGATTCCTGGAACATTCTCTGCTCGCTAAGCCACACCATTACGAGATGGACGCTTACAATCTCCTTGCCAGGACCTACTTTCTAATTTGGAGTTTGATGTAAAACATGGTAAATCTTGGACTATTTGCATCTCACTCGCCTGGGTGTTCTCAATGCTCAGTAGAGGCCGCACATGAAGCAAAATGGGTGTGCATTTTGCAGTACCTAGCAGGATGTTAGTCACCTGTAGGTATGTCATAAATATTTAATTTCCTGGGTCCCCACATAAATTGCAAAGAGTCCACAAATATTTTTCCAAGATCAACAGGACTCACAGGTTTTCTCCTAAATAAAAAAAAGTGAGATGAAAACTTTACATTTAATGGAATTCATGCCGTCTATCATCACCCAAGATGAACACAAAGAGCACCAACAATTACTAATCTTCAAAAGGGAAAGAAATGAGCAAGAAACTTTCTAGAGGACCTGCTTGGCCTCTGGATGGAATCCTAGCTTCATCACACCACAAAGACAGCAGAGCTGAAGCTCCAACAGACCTCCTGCCAGCTAACATTACTAATGTAGATGATGTATTCAAGAAAGGAGGGATAACGATTAGAGTCTCCTATAAAATCCCCTCCGAGATGGTGTCTTTTCATCCAGCAAGAATCAAATACCAATCAACAGTGACTATTCGATAGTGGAATCATCCTTTCTGATCGACCTAAACACTACCGCTGTGAATGTGTTTCCATCCAAACCACCTTTCTTATTGATGAGGCTATGTGGGTCTAGGGATGCTCACAACGCCCAGTTCCTTCTGGGTTTTTATCACATGGCTGCTGCTCACAGAACGCCAGAGAACAGCAGCTCTGCCTTTCTTTTCTAATGCTGTTGCTAAAAAGGAAAAAAAAAGTTTATTTACAAGAAGAAAGATGGCTACTTCCAAGTAATAGATAACATTTGTGGTGGCCTGTGATTCATGAAGACTTCAAGGAAACAAGCCAAAAAAAAAAACCCAGAAAAACCTGATGCAGAAGGCAGACTGCTATCCTGGCCCAAATCAAGATTTTTTTTTATTTTGCTTTTTTATGAAACTAAAGGCACACTTTATACTTATATGAAGTACCACATTTTGCAGATACTGCATTTTTTTTTTTTTGCAAATTGAAGGTTTGTGGCAACTCTGCATTGTCAGATGTTTTGTATTTTTTAGCAATAAAGTGCTTAAAATTTTTTTCTTTCCAGTTTTATGGAAATATAATTGACACACCAAACAGTGTAAGTTTCAGGTGTACAGCATAATAACTTGACTTACATATATCATGATATGAGTACCACAAGTTTTGTGAACAAGTATTATCTCATATAAAAACAAAATAGAAAAAAAATTCCTTATGATAAGAACTTTCGGAACTTAATCTCTTAACTTTCATAAATAACATACAGCTGCATTAATTACATTTATCATGTTGTACATTACATCCCCAGTATTTATAAGTGGAAGTCTGTATCTTTTGACCACGTTCCTCCAATTCCCCCTTTCCAACCTCCTGCCTTTGGTCACTACCAGTCTGATCTCTTTTTCTAAGAGTTTCTTTGTTTTTGAAGTACAATTGACCTCTAACACTATACCAGCTCCTGGTGCACAAGATAGTAATATGATGTCTGTACATTACAAAATGTTCACCACAATAAGTCTAGGTACCGTCTGACTCCATATAAGGATATGAGACTATTATTGACAACATTCCCACTGTGCATTTCATGCCTGTGAAAGTATTTTTTAAGTTAAGGTATGTACATATTTAAATTTTTTTGTTTGTTGTATTTTATTTTTAGGTTTTTTGGGGGAAGGTGGGTAATTAGGTTTACTTATTTATTTATTTTTTAATGGAGATTGAACCAGGACCTCGTGCATGCTAAGCACACACACACTACCACTAAGCTACACCCTCCCCGGACATGTTTTTTTAA